GTTGCCTGCACTCTGGATATCATGTCTAGAAAATCATTATCAAGTTCAAGATCAAGGAACCATTTCCCTATTACTTTTAGGAGTTTTATTATTTTGGTCTTACATTTCATCCTTTAATCCATTTTGAATTGATTTTCATGTAAGATAAGAATCCAATTTTTGCTCTTTTCCATGTGAATATTGTTTTTCTAACTTTATTGCAAATTACTTGACCATATATGTGACAACTTATTTCTTGGCTTTCTATTCTGCTCCATTGGTTTTGGTCTGCTTTTATGCCAGTACCATACTTTGGTTGATATAGCTTTGAAATATAATTTTAAAAAGGAAGAAGGATTCCTTTTGATATGCTATTGCTCAGCGTTGCTTTCGTTATTCAGGGTCTTTTGGGATTCTGCATGAATTTCAGAATTGTATTTTCTATTTTTGTGAAAAAACATTGGAATTTTGATATGGATTACATTAGGTTTGTAGACAGATTTGGATAGTATAAACAATTTTAACAATATTAATTCTTTCAATCCATGAACATGGAGTATATTTCTACTTATTTGTGTCTTCTTCAAAATTTTTAGCAGTGTTTTAGTTTCCAATGTACGGATTTTTCACTTCATTGATTAAATTCACTCCTATATATTTTACTTTTTTAATATAACTGTAAATATTTTTCTTCTTTTTTGGATAGTCTATTGGTAGTGTATACAAATGCAATTCATTTCTATATGTTAATTTTGTATTCTGCAGTTCTATTGAATTCATTTATTAGTTTTATTTATTTTTGGTGGGGTCTCTAGTATTTTCTGTATATAGGAGTATGTAATCTGAAAACAGAGACATTTCCTCTTTGGATGTCTTTTATTATAGCAGTGTTATTTACCCACAGGTGAACTGATCCATATTCTAAGACCTAAAACCACAGTTTGTACCAAGCCCTATATATACTATGTTTTTCCTGTGTGTGTGTGTGTGTGTGTGTGTGTGTGTGTGTGTGTATAAACTTGATAGAGTTTAATTTAAAAATTAGTCACAATAAGAGATTAACAACCATAACTAATAATAAAATGAAACAATTATAAAAATATACTATAATAAGGTTATAGGAATCTAATGGGTAGGTAGCATATACAGTGTGATTACACTGGTCAAAGGGATGATTCATGTCCTAAGTGGGATAAAGTGGGACAATGAGCAGTTTCATCAGGATGAAATCTCTGGATTTCATCACAGATTACCAGAGATTACAGACTTCATGATGAAATCTGTCCTACTTTATCCCACTTGGGACATGAATCATCCCTTTAACCAGAGTAATCACATTGTATATGCTACCCATCCATTAGATACTTAGCGGAAATCTGTTATCTGATCAACTGTCATGGTATCTCAGTCAAGTGATCTTTGCATAGTAGTCTAGTGCTAAGTCACAAGGCTTACGTTGCTCACCACACTTCATTTAATCATGTAGTTATTGTATCATCTCACATAATCACAAGAAGGATAAGTGCAGTGCAATAAGGTATTTTGAGAGAAAACATTAATATAACTTTTATTATAGTATATTTTTATAATTGTTCCATTTTATTATTGGTTATTGTTAATCTCTTAGTGTGGCTAATTTATAAATTAAACTCTATCAAGGTATATATTATGTAGGAAAAACACAGTATAAAGAGTTTTTTGATACAACCTGTTGTTTCAGGCATCTACTGGAGGTCTTGGAACATGAATATATTCCCCTGTTTGTAAGGGACACTGCTATAATCCATAAATAATAACTCCTAAACGCTAATGGTTATGATGAACTTATCTAGCAAGTGGTACCTGTTCTGCTTTCCAGACTTGTTTCCTGCTGTAATGTCCCTTGACCCCCAACTTTGCCACTAGTATACCTATTCTACCTATAAATGTTCAAATATTTTTATACCCTACTGATTCCATATATAAAAGCTTAATGTTTTACTTTTTAAAATTTAATTTAATTCTGTAATGTTTGAGATCAAATTCAGGGCCTTGCAGATGCAAGGAAAGTACTCTATCCCATAGCTATATCCTTGATCCAAATTTGATATTTTTTTATGGGAGATTCAAATTTTAGTCCATCATCCACTATCTTTGACTTATGACAAGTAATTTTCCTTCTCTCCCTTGATTCCATGCTCTTTAAAACAGGGAACTAAGATGCATGACTTACTTTGCTTACTTTATAAGACAACTGTCAGGGTCAAATGAGAATAATTATGAAAGTACATTTTAAACTATAAATTAGCATCTTGACAGTAGGTATTATGAATATGACCATTCTTCTCCCCTGTTATATATTTAGCTACTAGAAATAATTGCCTTGCCTTCATTTTGATGTCTCAGAAATCTCACAATAGTAGATCATTAATAAATGTGTGCAGAATTGAATCAAAACATCCCAAAATTTAGGTTCCAATGATTAATTACTGAGTACGCAGCATTAAAGGATTACATAATATAGGATTATAGAGGACAATAAAATTCTCACACCCTTCAAGTAAATCTGAAAGGAAGAATTCTACAGATGAGAAATTCCACATACATCCTGTTTTCAAAATTTATTGGATCAAAGGAAATAATTTTTTTTTTATCTTTTTACTTTCCATGTTTCTGATTAATATAAAGTCCTAATTTGATATGAGTATTTTTCTTTTTTAAATTTTATTTTATTTATTCTAATTTGTTATATATGATAGCAGAATGCAATTCAATTCATATTACACAAACAGATCACAATTTTTCATGTCTCAGTACACAAAGTAGTCACACCATTCATGTCTTCATGTACTTAGTGTAATGATGCCCGTCTCATTCCACTTGCCCCCTCCTTTGCCCTCCCTCCCCTTTGTCCTATCTAAAGTTCGTCTATTCCTCCCAGGCATCCCCTATCCCCATTATGAATCAGCATTCTTATATCAGAGAAAACATTCAGCATTTGTTTTTTTTGGGATTGGCTAACTTCACTTAGTATTATATTCTCCAACTCCATCCATTTACCTGCTATGATTTTATTCTCTTTTAATGCTGAATAGTAATCCATTGTGTATATATACCACATTTTCTTTATCCATTTATCAACTGAAGGGCATCTAGGTTGGTCCCATAGTTTAGCTATTGTAAATTGTGCTGCTATAAACATTGATGTGGCTGTATCCCTACAGTATGCTGTTTTTATGTCCTTTGGGTATAAACGGAGGAGAGGGATAGCTGGGTCAAATGGTAGTTCAATTCCCAGTTTTCCAAGGAATATCCATACTGTTTTCTAAACTGGTTGCACCAATTTGCAGTCCCACCAGCAATGTAGGAGTGTGCCCTTTGACCCACAGCCTCACTAATACTTATTGTTGTTTGTATTGTTGATGATTGCCATTCTAACTGGAGTGAGATGAAATCTTAGGGTAGTTTTGATTTGCATTTCTCTAATTGCAAGAGATGTTGAACATTTTTTTCATATATTTGTTGATTGATTGTATGTCCTCTTCTGAGAAGTGTCTGTTCAGTTCCTTGGCCTATTTATTGATTGGGTTATTTGATTTTTTGGTGTTAAGATTTTTGAGTTCTTTATGTATCCTAGAGATTAGTGATCTATCTGATATGTGTGTGATAAAAATTTGCTCCCATTTTGTAGGCTCTCTATTCGCTTCTCTGTTTCTTTGCTGAGAAGAAGCTTTTGAGTTTGAATCCATCCCATTTATTGATACTTGATTTTAATTCTTGCACCATAGGAATCTTATTAAGGAAGTCAGGGCCTAATCTGACATGATGGATATTTGGGCCTACTTTTTCTTCTATTAGGTGCAGGGTCTCTGGTTTAATTCATAGATCCTTGATCCTCTTTGAGTTTTGTGCACGCTGAGAGATAGGGGTTAATTTCATTTTGTTGTATAGAGATTTCCAGTTTTCCCAGCACCATTTGTTGAAGAGGCTATCTTTTCTCCAATATATGTTTTTGGAGCCTTTCGTAAATCAATAAATGTAATTCATCAAATTAATAAACTTACAGATAAGATCATGTCAATAGATGTGGAAAGAACATTCGATAAAATACAGCACCACTTCATGTTCAAAACATTAGAAAAACGAGGGATAATAGGAGCATATCTCAACATTGTAAAAGCTATCTATGCTAAGCTCCAGGCCAACATCATTCTAAAAGGAGAAAAATTGAAAGCATTCCCTCTAAAAACTGGAATAATACAGGGATACCCTCTTTTCACCATTTCTATTTAACATAGTTCTTTAAACTCTAGCCAGAGCAATTAGAGGGACAAAAGAAATTAAAGGGATAAGGATAGAAAGAGAAGAACTCAAATTAGCACTATTTGCTAATGATATGATTTTACACATAAAAAAACCCAAAAAATTTCACCAGAAAACTTCTAGAACTAGTACATGAATTCAGCAAAGTAGCAGTATATAAAAATCAACACCCATAAATCAAAGGCATTTCTATATATTAGTGACAAATCTTCTGAAAGTGAAACAAGGAAAACTACCCCATTTACAATAGCCTCAAAACAAAACAAAACAAACAACAACAACAACAAAAAACTTGGTAATCAACTTACCAAATAAGTGAAAGTCATGTACAATGAAAACTACAGCATGCCAAAGAAAGAAATTAAAGAAGACCTTAGATCTCCCTTGTTCTTGGATAGGCAGAATTACTATTGTCAAAATGACCATACTACCAAAAGCACTATATTTAATTATTCCAATCAAAATCCCAATGACATTTAGAAATAAAAAAAGTCGTGAAATTCATCTGGAAAAATCAGAGACCCAGAATAGCTAAAGCAATCCTTAGCAAGAAGAGCGAAGCAGGTGGCATTACTATACCAGATCTTAAATCATACTACAAGGCAATAGTAACAAAAACAGTATGGTACTGGCATCAAAATAGATTGGTAGACCAATGGTACAAAGTAGAGGAAACAGAGACAAACCCATATAAATACAGTTATATTAGACAAAGGAAATAATTTTAGTGTAAGTTTTATTATTACTTCTTTTATAATATTGTTACTGATAATAATCCTATTTACAAGTATCCTAATGAGATCTTAATGAGATAGAAATTTTGGGATACACAAAGAGCACTAAGTCTCTGAAGGAAAAAATATTGCCATTAAGTTATAGAACAAACAACTCATGATCCAGGCAAAGGCAGCTAAAAAAAAGTAAGGGTACACTAAAAAAACCATAAATTACTTTGTAACTTTCTGGTTCTTTATAAGTTTTTTGGAATATAGCAAAACAGGAACAAGACAATTAGAAAGAGACTATTAACCTTGTGAATCTTGAGGCTAGCATTTGATTGAATCATGACACTTTTTCCCAGCCATCTGATTGACCACCCAATTGCCACAGGCAGTGATATAAGCTGAAACTTTCATACCAGACCAGATCCTCTAGTGGAGAACATGGTTTCAATCAATATTTACCAGCTGTGAGATTCCCAGCCCTTCACAGTTTACATATTCAACCTAATAATGTACCCTAATTTAGTAAAAACTTGACCTTAGGCCATGGCTGCACATCTTACTCTTGAGATTGCCCACACACTGACAGGGTAGATTTTCTCCTTCCTACCCTAGTGCTCCAGCATTTCTTTGTTAGACTGACTCGTCCTTAAACTCTTTTCTCTGATGGAGTCAAGAACCTGGAAGTTTCAAATAGAGGTCTCCTTTGTTTCTGGGAATCTTGAACCCCCCCATACAATGGACACTAGGAGCTACATGATATATAAAAAGTCAAGGATTGCTATGTAGATATTTTCATAACTTTAGCATTCATAAGATCTATATGGAGTTTTAACGTTCATAGGATTCATGAGGAGGTTTTCAAGGTGCATTTTTCAGACTGAAGGGTAGAATCTGAAGGGAAATAGAGGAAAAAAGACAGACATTTCCTTTGTCTTCTTAATTGCACCACTGCATTCTGTGTCATAGTTACCTTTCCTTTCTTCATGGGCAATGATGTTAGAAGGGAAGAATCAGAGAATACAGAGGTTTGAGGACTAAAAGTTTCCTTTTAGGCCATCAACTCCAAACTCCTTATTTTACAAATGAAGAGATTGAGGCTTAAAGATGATACAAGAATGGCTCAGTGGTTTAAAATATGAAATTGGCAGATTAACATTTTGCTTAAAGATTCGACAGTTATTTCCAAATATCTGTTCCCCTAGAAAAGCAGATGCCGCTGCTTCTGTTACTTAAAGTGCTGTCTTTTTTTTTCCTAGGGAGTTTCTCCAGTATGACAGGAAGTGATTTTTCCTAGTGCTATGAATAATCACCTCTATGCCTTGTCAGGCAGGCACTGCAGCTACAACACATGGAACAATACCCTAGTGCCCCAGCAGGGTTAATGAGCGCCCCAAGGCTACTAATTTATCATAAGGGAGTAGTTTAGAATTCAGGAAGATTAGATTCTTCTTTATTATATCTCCGCCTTTTAAATTTTGTTAACCTAATGCCCTTAACATTTCCCACTATTATGCTTCTTTCCTTCTCCTTAAACCCACAGTCCTTATAGGAGCCATGCACACTTTTATCACCTTCCTTAACCTCAACCACTGCTTCATCACCTTCTGCCCATGTCAGAATTCTGCATAGCAGGGACTTTCCTTCTAGACAAATTCAAATATTTTCTTAATCTCCCTTTTGAATTCTATTGTCCTAGGAAACAAGTTTAACTATTGTCCCATTTCAATCCTTTGACTTCTATAGTTCTGAACATAAACTTTGTGATCATCCCTGTAATTACAGTTCCGTCCACCTGTCCCTTTTCTGTGTGTGTTCCTAAATCTTAATCAGCTTCTTGTTCTTCTCTTAGCAAATGTAACTGTTTTGATGCCTTTAATCATCTTGTCAATGTTAATGACCCCCCAAATCTTGATCTTTAGTCCTGATGTCTCATGAACTTTCTAATCTTGTAATTCCAGCTGCTCTTTTAAATCTCTTGCCAAGTGCTAATTGATAAGTAAAAACAAACTTGTCATCACACTAACTAAATCATACTCATCCCCAAGACACCATTTAAAAAAAACTATAAATTGTTTTATATGTCAAACATGTAGTAAATTTTGCTCTTACTTTAAAAATATATTTGAAGAATTAAAACATTATATGCTTTTTCTGGGTTTTCTTAGTGAAAGCCTTTTTTTCTAGCCTGTTTGCCATTACTGAGTCTATCCCTCCATCTATCCCTCCATCCATCCTCCATCATTTCATTCTTCCAGATAAATTTTATAAATGGGCTGTATAAAAAAACCTCAGTGTCAATTTTCACTTGGTTAAATATACCAAGTGGTTTTGAGTATATTGAGCTCTTCTAACTGGTTGAATCACTAGTCCTCCCCTGTTTTTACCCTTACTTCACTCTAATAAATCCAACATAGTGCTCCCAAGGTTGTGCTCTGTTAATCAAGGGTGAGAGTGTGGGATCAGTTTATCCTAAACCAGCTGCACTGAATCTTTTGTTTGTTCTTATTTGGGTTGGGAGCAACTCCCTAAAAAATAAAGAAGGTGGAAAAAAAATGGCCCACCACAGTGACAGTTTATTTAAGAATGTCCTGATGCCAGGGTCATCCTCACTCTTAAGAAGCATTAACTCATAATCTCCAGTTGTCATTTCTAGATTCTGGCCAAAGAGTTACACAGCTTCTTGTCAACAGAGAACACTTGAGTGCCCTACTTAGAGAAGCCAGCTCCATGCCAAATACATGTATCATTCTGTGGGCTTTATAACTGCAGCCTCTTTGAAAAGCCAAGTGTGGATAATCATGTCAAAGAACAGGAATCTGTGATGTAATCCTTAAGGAATGTTAGCAATCTATTATTTTTCTCCTTAATTTTTAAATCCTGTTGCTTCATAAGTTTACTGATTCTTTGACTCACAGATTCATTCATTTGGCAAATATTGTTGAGCTACTACTATTGGACGCCAAACACTTAGTTTGGTTCTGAGAATAAAATGTTAAATATGCTAGACTCAGACTCTGCCAGAAACAGAAATTACAAAGAAATTTGGGGAGCATAAAAATGAGAGAAGTATAGAGTATTTCACAGGCATGTGGCCTTGCTATCATGAGCTCCCTTCTGCTACCTGTTGGCAATGAGATCTGCTTCTTGCTCTTCTTAACTTTTAAGTTGCTTAACTTTTCAAAGGCGCATTTCCTCAGATATAAATTCTGGTCAATATCAAGATCTGATTCAAATATTTATTATGTGAATTAAAATTTTACCAACTGTTTAGTACAGCATTTGATACACAGCAAATGTAATTAACTGTTAATTGCTATAGTAATAATTTTATGCTACAAACCATTTTATTATATTGATTTTCACTTCTTAAAATTCTTTTTTCTATTTCTCAGAAGCTATATTTTTCACTTCTGATTCAGTCTAATGAGACAGATATTAAACAAATCATCACAGGAAGAAGTACAGGATCACAAATGGTCTCAGCATCTTCATAAATACATTTAAAGAAAAAAATGTTATTTATCACAGCAAAAAACAATAAGGTTTAAGTTATAGAATTGAAACAAACTAGTCCCAATATCAGGGAAATGTTATGCTTCCTTCCAGAGCTCCAAATCCTAAAATAAGAAAAGAACAAAGATTAATATTAAAATTTAGAATCTGTTTCTAATAGCCCTCTCCCTTGTTCTGTGAAGTAGCTGGCAAAATCTACTATTAATTACAGTTTTGTGATAGGCTACATTATATACATAGCAATTTAAATCAGTCACATCTTTCAGAATGCAAGTTATGCTAGGTACTCAATTAACATTAGGAATATTCTTCTATTTTCAGTCTAACCACATAAATCACAATATGGTGTTTCTGTGCTTTGTCTATGAAGGAAAGCAGGCACAGTAATAAATACACTTATGATTTAGTTCATTTATTTCTAGGTCTTAGTGCAGAGTGATTAAGGATGTGAACTCTGGAATCTATCTTAGATGTGAGATTTGTGGCTACTTACTTTCAGAACCCAGGTTCTTCATTACTACAGTAGGGTTAGTAACAATATCTACCTCATATGGTTAGAAGAGAATGTGGCACACGCTGAGAACCCAGACTCTTAAGTTTAAACAAAGAAAAATGAAAGAAAAAATGAACTATTTAAGACTATTTGGCCTTCTAATTTGCCTACAACTGGGGGTTTTACTGCAGGCAGACCTTTCTTTGAGTCTTGGGGACCAATGAAGAACTCTTTATGACAAATAAAGGATCACAATAAGTCATTCCTAAACTTTAATATTCTTGTTTTCTCCCTTATTCTTTCTGTGTGAGCTCTATATGATATCTAAATGTTTGCTTATCTTGTAAACCTTGCAACTTAATATGATGTTTGGCAAACAACAAAATTATTGAATTGAATATTCATTAAGGCAGAAGAGATTTTTTTAATTTTAATTTTTTGTCTTTACAAAAACAGTACCTATTGCAAATTTACAGATTGATTTAAAGAGAATTGGAAGTTTCCAGTCTTATCTGTCACACAGATGGATTTTCATTTATGTGATATGTTATTTATGGTTGGCATTTATTCACTCTAACTACTCTAACACCACTTATGCACCCTTTACAACTAGCACTAGGATATGACATAGCCAGTTTCACTATGGACATAGTTATTGCCAATTGTTGTAATGTTGATATGGAAAAAGCAACTACTGTATTCAGCAACTGTTCCAGTAAAGCATTCCCCAGCTGTCTGGGAGTCACAATCCATAGTCTTAAATAGATGTATCTGTCATCAGTTTTATTAGCTTCGAGCTATATGTGTCATCTGTTGGTTTTGGATGTGGAAACTGGTGTGGGCAAATGTTCTTCTCAAAATATATATTTTAAAACACATGCAATTACTTGTGTATTAATATCATTTCACAAATTCAGAATCCACAAATAATTTGTTTTAATTATATAGTTCATTTATTTTATTTTCATTTCATATTTCAGAGTCTACTCATGATAGTTAGAAATGTAGAAGAGGTCTTTTGGCCTCACATCCTTCCTTAGTTGCCTCTGAGGGTATGCTTCCTGGAGATTTTCAGTGGAAGTATGGAAAGCCTTAAACTACTGGGGAATCTGTATTTCTGTCAAAATGAGAGATTAACGTATGTGCAATCAATTTAATTTATTCAAAGCACTATAAACACAGATATGCTAACTTGAAATAAATATAGAAAACAAAGTGTAAAAAGAGGAGAAAAGTCATATTAAAATGATTTGACACAGGAAATGTAAGAAGGCACTAAGCTGTGAACTCCTAGTTCACAAGAGCAATGACTCCCAGTTTAGTACTCCTTAGGGAAGAATAAGGAAAAGCAGTCAGGACCTGGGCAAGTCTTAGCTCTCAGTTAATCAAAGCAGCTCTGCATAAACCTGTTTTTTATTTTGGGAGAATATTCAAGCTTTAGAGAGACCACAGTCTCTAGGTCTTGGTTATTATTGTTTTGTAATATGATAAAATGATTGATCTAATCTGAAGACTCAGAGTTTCAATGTTAAAACAATATTTTTTCCCCTAGCTTAGAGTACTGAGAGTAATTTTAAAGCTATAGAATAAAAAAAATTGTTTAGCAAATGCAAAGGCATATACAGTGACACCTACCTATTTCCATAGTCGTCTCTAATTGTCTCAAGTCCAGGGCACAACACTGAAGTATGATCCTGTAAAATAATTACACATGGAGGTGCATTGATATGATATAGGTGTGTCATTTCTAGTGATCAACATGTAGTTTATAGATTTAGAAGAGTAATTAGAATAAAGTTTTATTTTATGTTAGTTTTATTATTTGAAGATTTATTTTATTAATGTTTTATTGATTTTTGAAAAGACAATATATGCGATAAAATCTACAAAATGGATGGTAAAGGTCTCTGTCTCCACTGTGTCCTTTAGTTTTTCTTAACACAGTCACTATTAACTAGCTACTCATGTACCTTCCAGAGCTATGAAAGGAAACATTTGATATATTTCCACTTATGGGGTAAGAGGCATGCATGTATAAACAGTAAATGAGTGTTGGGTGAGTGATTTCAACAAGTATTTTAGTAGCTCAAAAGGACTAGAGAAGTTTTCGCTAGTTTGCTTAGGGAAGCCCGTGCAGGGAGATCATATTTGAACTAATTTTGCAGTATATTGAAAGTTTTTGGACTTATAGGGAGTTTAGAAATTTAAAATTTTCCCTCCAATTTTCAGATTTTATAGAGAATTGAGACATCAGACACAGATATGTATCAGTTATATGCCTGATAAAACAATTAGAGAAAATGTTTTTTACTTTTACAGTAAAACAGTTTACAAATTCTCTCCCCCTCAACTCCCTTTCCCAGTTTTGTTTTAGGACAGCCTCAGGAGCTATAAGTTGAGTCTACAGAGCACATTGTCCCAGAAAGGACATCTTTTTTGAATCTAGGGCACAGAAACAAGGATAAAGGGGTAGGATTACCTATTATTTAATCTGGTTGAGAACACAGATCGATAGACGTTATATATTGTCATATAACTCATTTTCTATCTTTCATTAAGAATAAGAAAGAGGTGAGGCCAGATGTGTTCCTAAGACAGTGTTCCTTCTTTGTGGAAACATGAGATGAGCAGAAAGGAAATTCCTTAATCCTTCCTTACAAAAAATGCAGGTAATCTGCAGAAATTATTTAACAACAGAAAGAAGTTCTTCTGGGTCAAAAGCAAAACGAGTAAAACATGATGATTAACTAACTAGTAATAGTACTATCCAACGGTAGAAAAAAATGAATATAGATAAGTTATAAGGTAAAATCAAGGGCACAGAGATACAAATTTGCTAAATTGGAGAGAGAGACAGCCAACACAGAGATGGGAGAGAGTGGTTGGTAAACACTTAACAGGTCAGGAGTGAGAAGAGGGGAAGCGGTAGTTTATACTGTCTGATGATTTCTGTGATATAAATATACCCACTATGCCCTATAGTGGGTATATTATAAATATACACACTATACCTATTAGCTATCAACATGACATACCTGAACACAGAGCTGAGAAGAGATGTGCACAGTTGGTCTCATGAACAGATCCAAGCCAGTTCCAGCACACCCAGGGAGGAGGAAATACTGAAGTGTGAAGACTTGAGTGCTTTGGGAATGTTAGTGGTGTTTTTTGGCAGTAGGATGGGTGTTTTAGTCAGCTTTTTCACTGCTGTGGCTCAAAGATCTGACAAGAACAATCAGAGGAGGAAAAGTTTATTTGGGGGCTCATAGTTTCAGAGGTCTCGGTCCATAGAAGCCTGACTCCATTCCTCTGGGGTATGAGGTGAGGCAGAACATCACTGTAGAAGAGTGTGGTGAAGCAAGGTGACTCAGGACAGTGCAACATGAAACAGGGACCTACCTCTTCCAGCCATACCCTACCTGATTTCAGTTACCACTCAGTTAATCCCTATCAGGAAATTAATTCAATGATTGTGTTAAGGTTCTCATAACCTAATCATTTCACACCTAAACCTTTTTGCATTGTCTCACACATGAGCTTCTGGGGGACACCTTATATCCAAACCATAACAGGTGGGACTGGTGCACCTCCATATAGGTCAGTATTTCCAAAATACATCACATTGAGACCTGAATGTTATAGGAAGCCACTTGGTAGCTATATTGGGTAATAACAGCCTCAATCAACCAGAACAGTTTCATTTTTTATCTGTTACCCTCTGCCTAAAAAAGTACCTAAAGCCACAAACTGGTTTTTGGTTTTTTCCTTGTTTATTATTGCATTTTAAGCACTATCCTAGAAAGTAGTGATCACTGTGTAATTTTTTTAAAAAATGACTTGCTTATAATACTAAAAAAAAAAAAAGAAAGAAAAGGGAAAAATATCCCCTGAAAAGAGGATATAATTATTTGACATATAGAGATTATTTATTCCTAGGAGTCTGAGAAAACAATGAAGCCACACATTTTCTGGTTATTCAAAGTTGGAAACAAAATACTGACCCGTTTTTGTAAATGCAAACTAAAGTCACTCTAAATACCTGTCTGGATGACCAGTTGGCTTCTTTACTGCATTTGTTATGCAAAATACAATTTATTATCAGCAACAGATAGAACATTGCTAATCCAAACACTTGAAATCCTAAATGCTCTAAAGTCTAAAACTTTTTGAGTGGTGACATGGTGCCACAAAAGGAAAATTTCACACCTGATTTGTGATGGGTTGCAGTCAAAATATAAGGGCATAATGTACAATTTACTTAGCCTCCCCAAGAGAGAAAAACAAACAAACAAACAAACAACAACAACAAAAAACCTCTCAGTCCCCTCAGCTGCTGAAAACTTTAATGTCCACAATTATTAAAAATGTCATATAAAATTACATTCATTAAAAAACTTCTTCACAGCAAAGGAAACAATCAAGAACATGGAGAGAGAGAGCCTACAGAATGGGAGGAAGTCTTTGCCACCTGCACTTCAGATAGAGCATTAATCTCCAGGATATATGAAGAACTCAAAAAATTAATATCAAAATAAAAACAAATAACCCAATCAATAAATGGACAAAGGAACTGAACAGGCACTTCACAGAAGAAGAAATATGAATGGTTAACAAATATATGAAAAAATGTTCAATATTTCTAGTATTTAAAGAAATGTAAATTAAAAATACACTGAGATTCTATCTCACTCCAGTCAGAATGACAATTATCAAGAATACAAGTAACAGTAAATGTTGGCAAGGATGTGGGGGAAAATGTTCACTCATACATTGCTGATGGGACTGCAAATTGGTGTGATTAATTTGGACAGCAGTATAGAGATTCCTTGGAATGGAATTACCATTTGACCCATTATCCATTTCCTTAGTATATACCCAAAGGACTTAAAATTAACATATTATAGTGATGCTGCCACATCAATGTTTATAGCAGATCAAGTAACAATAACTAAACTATGAAACCAATGAAGGTGCCCTTCAACAGATGAATGGATAAAGAAAATGTATATATACATAATACAATATTACTCAGCCATAAAGAAGAATAAAATTATAGCATTTCTTGGTAAATGGATGGAACTGGAGATTATCATGCTAAGTGAAATAAGTCAATCCCCCAAACCAAAGGCTGAATATTCTCCTTGATAGGTGGATACTAACACACGAAGTTAATTGTATTAGACAAAGGGGAATAAAGGGAAGGGAGGGTTATGGGAATGGGAAAGACAGTAGAATGTATCAGACATAACTTTCCTATGTTCATGTATGAATACATGACCAGTATAAATCATGTACAACCACAAGAATGGGATCCTAATTAGAATAAGCTATATTCCATGTATGTATAATATGTCAAAATATACTCTACTGGCATGTTTATCTAAAAAGAACAAATAAAGAATAAAATTAAAAATTTTAAAAAGATTACCTTCATTATATGTATATTATCCATTCCTATGTAACACTTAAAAGAATTTCTTGTTTAGACTTGGAATCCCATCCCTAAGATATCTCATTATGTATATGCAAATATTACAAAATCTGAAAAAAATCTGAAATTCAAAACACTTTTGATCTCAAACATTTTGGATAAGGGCTGCACAATCTAGAAATGCTAATGGCTCCAAGTGTCTATCTCTGGCTTAACTGTCTCTCTTCTTGGCCTTTAGAATCATTTTCCAATTACCCATTGGATATCTTTTATGTTCAGCAGGGATTTATGCTTAATAAATCCAACACCAAGTTCATCCTGCCCTGTCCTGAAACACATACATTTCTGAATTCCCTGTCTCATGAATGGAATCATTTTCTGCCCAACCATGAAGAAGATAACACCAAGATAAACATGTGAATTATCCTATAAGATGTCTCCTCTCCCATAACTGCTGAGTATCAAATACTACCAATTTATCCACACAATACTTGTCAAATAAATCCTATTTTCTATTTCCTTATTTGTATGTCTTTAATTCAGGCTTTCAAGTTTGTATTGTAGTAATATTCTTATTGTTTATATACATTTTTGCTATTTATTTCCAGGATTTTATGAGTTATTTTACCAAATATAGTTTGTATAACATCACAGTCATTGATAACTACTCAAGGTAAACACATGGACCTCAAAAATCCTATAAGGTATCTTGTCAGAATTTCACCTTATTGCCATAGTTTGTATGGCTCTTTATGCTCTGTTCACAGCCTAGTATTTCAATTTTCATCTGAAAATGCTTCCTCCAGCATAAGTAAAGATGTTTAAAAAAAAAAAAAAAAAAACATGAGTCTGCCCCTTCTCAGCCACAGCTCAAGGCAGACATTGCAAATTACCCACGAACTTTTCACATGGAATAAGAATATAGATTCAGAATTCTCATCAATCGGTCATAGCTTTCAAGCAGCTACCTCATGGGAATTTGTTCATGAAATGAAGCATACTGTGTGTGACAGACCATTTATACTTTATCTCACTATAACCATACTTATAATTTCAGGAACATACTGAGTGTGTTTATGCCATCCTGCCTTTGAACATGTTGTTCCCGTTACCTGAATTCTCTTCTCCTTTTCTAATTTCCTTTCCTGCTATTCAGGTAAATTGATATTTTATCTTTCAATGTTTTTTTTCTCATGTCTCGCTTTTTCTTTGACATTTCCATGACTTTATGTCATATCTCTTCCACCCCAAGGAAACTAAACTCTTTCTCCTTTGTGCATTGTAATTGTTTACATGCTAACTACTTAACTAGACTATAAGGGAAATTTTGCTCAAAGAAAAAGTTTCAAAATGAACTCTATTTTCCTAGCACTTAATGTACTCCTTAGGGCACAGAAGTTCATAAAAAATGATTCTAAAATTATTAAAATACAAAAAAGCATACTTAAAAACCTGCCACTAGCATATCCCTCTACTCCCAATTCAGCTCCTCAGACCAATTAGTTTTAGATTTGTTAAAGAGGAGAACAAAAGCCAGTTCCAACTTCAGTCCCCATGATGACTTTACCACCAGTTTAAAAAAAGATAAATAGTTCAGTACGTCCTACAATGAATTAAAAACTGGTTAATTACCAAAGCTTTCAAGCCCCAAAAGATGAGTGGAATCCAATCTGTCAATAAGACTGTCCTTGCTCAATAACAATAGGAACTAGTTAGAAATATAACCCTAAATCCCTTTATTCTTTCTTTTCATGTCTTTTAAAAAAAGGTAACATGATATGGAAAACATTTTTAAATAAGAAAAAAAATATATGAATCCTGGGAAGGTATATATAATATGTATGTATAATGCTATGTCAACATAGAATTTTCTCATAAACTTGAGAATTATAAAACATCATTCTGAGTATTTTATATAATTACTATTTTAATAGTGATGAGAAACATACATTTGAAAAACAATATGGGTACAATATGCTTTCTCTAATGTCTCCTCTCAGAATGTGACTAGTGTGCTTGGAGGAAATCCATGTAATGTTAGACCATAAAGTTGTCAACACAGCAAGAGGATTTTCCTCACCCAATTTAAGGTTGCCAGATAATGGGTTTAAACTTGGCTATGTGGACAAATGAAGAGCTCTGTCCATATTCAGAATGATTATTGTCTTTGATTTCCTGTCCTACATCACTGACAACAATATTCTTAGGTATTAACCAGTAACACATCCTATGTTTACATATATTACAATATGGTATTTCCCTATTTCTATTCTCCTTCTAAGACTCATACATTTTATTCTATATTATTCCCTCTTTTCTTAAACCAGAAGTTGTGTTCATGTACCCCTAGAACTGCATGTAAAATATTCTACATATGTGCACATTTCCTTGGGAAATGATGCAGTTTTATTAATTTTTAAAAAGATTTTATGTTAAAAAACATGAGAAACTGCTCCAATAAAAGTTGTCTTCCTCTCAGTATTCCCTCCTGAATAATGTTCTTTTTTTTATCTGCTCTGTATGTACAACCTCTACAACTCTGAGAGTTTAATTTCCCATTTACATTTGGATGATATCCTGACACAGAGCCAACAGCTGTCATACACAAACTCACTCTTGGGTTCCAGGTCTATATTTCCAAATGTTACTGAACTGACTCCTTAAGTACATAATGAAATCCCCAAATATTGATTGAAGGCCCTCACTGCATTTGACACTCGAGAGACAAGGCAGTCTCTGCCTGCAAAGACATTTTTATGTAACTATGATTTCTGGGCACATAACATATGCTAGGAATTGTGCTAAAGATTTTACCTGCATTATGTCATCCTTACAACATCTGTGAGTTTTACAGATGAGGAAGCTAAGTTTCAGGGAGATTATATAACCTTATTACCTACTTACTCAGTCAGAAGGACTGAATTTGAATTGATTTTGTCTGTCTCTAGGGTCTGAGAGGTTTCACTGCCTCTCTCATAATAGCAATTCACAGTTGGAAGCAGCTCATTGCAATGATATACACACTATGGTAAACACACGATCGTGTCCTACTTGGAAACCCTCTATGATATCTTTAGTCCTACTTATAATTAGGCCTCAACATACCTCTCAGTCCCCAGTTGCCTGCACATTCCCCATCTCATTTTAACATCTAGTTATACAATACAAAGGAAAATTGTTCTATGGAGGAAATGGTTAAGGTGATATTTTCTAGTTTGCTTGCTTGGCATAAGAATTAATTTGTACAGAAATGAAATTTCAGAAAAGACATAACAAAATTCAGGAAAACAGCTGGAATAAGTATGTGAAAACTAGTGACAATATGTTTGAAATAAAAGATGACAACAATTAATATTGGAGGGTGCCAATGCACCTCAATGGAAGAAAAAAAATGATCTTTTCAATGGAAGTTTTGGGAAAACTGGATAGCTGTACACAAAAAATAAAATAAAATTAGACCCTTACCTCACAAAATTTACAAAAATTAACACAAGGTAGATAAAATATCTAAATGTAAAAACTAGAACTATACAGCCCTTGGAAGAAAATATACTGATCTCAGATTTGACATGCTTTCTAAGATATTATAATAAAAGTATAAGCAACAAAAGATAAACTAGATAATTTGGCTTTTGTTAAAATTTAAAATTTCTGTGCTTCAAAAGATACTATCCAGAAAGTGAAAAGATAAACTACAGAATGGAAGGAAATATTTCAAATGATATATTTAAAAGTATAGGGGCTGGGGTTGTAACTTAGTGATACGGTGCTTGTCTAGCATGTATGAGGCACTGGGTTCAATCCTCAGCACCACATAGAAATAAATTAGTTAATTAACAAACAAATAAAGATATTTTTTAGAAAGTCTAGTACCCCAAATATATTGAAGATTCCTACTACTGAATAATAAAATAACTCTACTTAAACATGGGCAAAGGATTTGAAAAAGCTCTTCTCCAAAGAAGATGTAAGAATGGGTAATAAATATGAATAGATGCTTAGGTCATTAGTCATTAGGGAGATGAAATTCAAAATCCTAATAAAATATCACTTCATACTCATGAAAATGACTTCAATACAAAAGAAAAACAATGATGAAATCTTGGCAAGGATGTAGATAAATCAAAACCCTCATATATCATTGATGGGAATGTAAAATGGAGCAGCTACTTGGAAAACAGTTTGACAGTTCCTCAAAAAGTTAGACATAGAGTTGTCATATAACCCAGCAACTTCACTCCTAGATATATATTTATGAAAATGAAAACAAAAATCCATAAAACTTGAAGATTAAGACTCATAACAGCATTATCATAATAGCTCAAAGAAGAAATGACTCAATTATCCATTAACTGATTTAATAGACAGTATGTAAACTATCAACACAATGAAATATTATTCAGTCATATAACAAAAGAATGAAGTCCTGATATGTGCTATGACATGGTTGAACTTTGAAAACATTATCATAAGTAAAAGAAGCTAATCACAAAAGTCAAATATTGTATGATTCCACTTATATGAAATTTCCTACACAGGCAAATCCATGTGAGCAAAAAGTAGATTCGGCAGTTTCCAAGAAATGACAGAGGGGGAATGTGGACTGATTGATAATTTCTATGGCATTTCTTTTGGACATGATGAAAGTATTATGGAATTAAATAATATCAATTATTTTATAACTTTGTGAATATACTGAAAACAACTGAATTGTCTCTTTTAAAATGGCAAATTTTTGTGGCACAGGAATTTTATTTACATTTTTTAAAAAATACCTGTTTCATAGGGTTAATGTAACACAAGCTGAGAGGCAGAGAACCTTTGATAAACATCAATCCTCAAATATTTAAAGAACCAAGTATAAAAGATGGCTTTTATTTAGTTTCGAAAATTTTAAATAATTAATTTTATTAGTTAATAGTATATGGAAAGTGGTTGAAAATGTAATAAAACTTTTTTTGAATACTTCCTATAGGGCTAATGACACAAAAGAAAGATATTGGACCACATTAGTCACATTTTCCTGACTAGGACAATTGCTGCTAATGTTATTACACCAAGCTGATTATATTCATTTTAAGCATCACTACCATAACACACCTAGAGATGGACACAGCACCCTATCCAACAGTTGAGTAAACTAATTACTAAATTTCTGTTATGACTATGTTGGTTGCTATGCCACATAACAGATATTTAAAAAATACAATGCAAGCACAATAATAATGTCAGTGTTTTGTATCATCATTAGTGGAGCCACTACCTGAAGCAAAAAGAAAAAAAAAAGTTTAGTGTTATTAGAATTAAATTATGGCAGCTTATGATCTTTTCACAAATGCAATAAGTACTAGTGAGCTTTTAAATTTAAATGTAGTACAGCACACTGTTAAAGTCACCTTATGTCATAAGAAGTGTAGGCAGCTGCATTCTTGAAAAATGTACATGTTGCCCTAAAGGTTTAATGTGCCCTTGTCCAAAAGAGAATACAATATTAATATCATTCTGATGACAAGTTGATTCATTGCAAACAAAGGTAACTTAGGTGCAATAGTTTTAGGAGATCCTGTTCCCTATGTTATGCATTTCTAAGGAATAAATCTTTCTCAAGAATATCAGTTCAAAGGGTATTTAATAAGTTCATCAAAGTATAATGATGAAGAAGAAAAACCAGTGTTATACAGTTTATTGGGGGGGGCATATTCTGTAAATGCCAAAATCATAGAAGACTATTATCACACAATGATCCACAAAGTTTTAGTTTTATAAAAAATGAGAAATAAAATATAAGCACATCCAATCTCCTGAAACAATCTGTCTCATTCACATTTCCAGGTTTAAATTTGGTTCTCTTATGTTGGGCAGTCACAATACAAGGAAAAGAAACAAAAAGAAAGAAGGAATGAAGGAAGAGAGGGAAGAAGAGAGAAAAAAACAATAAAAGAGGAAAAAAAGAACAGAAGAAATAAAACAAAAACCATATGAGGAAAAACTAAAGGAAACAGACTGAGGCACTGTATTAAAAAACAGCATTAGCAAATGTAAAATAGTTCACAGGTGACTTTTCCTTCCCAATCCAATAGCTAATGTCTGTTTTGGCAGGTTTCCAGTATATAACCAAGCTGGATAGAAAGGTCTGTATTCTCTCCAAGACTGAGATGCAGCTAGATATATAGTATACAACTTCTTTATTCTCCTTCATTCTTTAGACACTACTCTAAAAGTACTTTTACAATAATGAGTATAATAGACATTTAAAGGGAGTTTTTTTTTTTTAATTTTTGTGGAACTAAAAATCCCTAAAATGTAAGAAATAAGATTGAGAGGGTCCCATAGGCATTTGCCACCCACATTCCCTACTCCAACTATGGCACACAAGTTGGCCCATCCTCCTGGTTCTCTGTGTGTTTGGGGGCAAGACTCATCATTTCTTCCTTCATAAGATTTCCTTGTGATTCGGGGAAGCTGCTGTGTCGAGGATGTGATCTTCCCTTCTGTCCTCCATAGCAGGTACTAGCTTTCTTTCTTTGGGAGTTGGTGGGACTCTCTCTGATGTAGTTCCAGATTGCCTGCAGGATCCAGCTGTCACCACACTCCTGCTGGGCTCTTTGCTCTATCCTATCCTGTTTCCCTCTTTCCAAAAGCACTACCTCAACCAAGCTTTTAGGAATCTGTCCTAAAACACCAAGAAAATAATGTTCCTGTCACAGACACTTTAGAAATTGTAATTGTTTCTGGAAAATATGTTTTTAAAATGTATTCATCTCAGCATATTCTTTGGGTTTGAAGTAGCTTTGTTGGCTTCTAAGATATGAGCTAAAATCACATGAAATCTGAATCAGAACTAAATATACCAGCAGAAAAATTTAAGTAATTAAATAATGTTTTCTTGTACCTTTAAACATGTTGATCAAGACTTGCTTTCACTGCCTTTAGAACTTTCCCTAATTTCCTCTCACCTTCTCAAGCCTTGTTGGCTGGGGAAATGCTTACCCTTCAGGGATTGGTTTTCACTTCTGGACCCCTGAAGTTAGCTAGGACATCCTTCTTAGGGGCTTACAGAGTGCCTCCTACTTACATCATGCTGGACTGTCACACTTCCTGGTGATTCTGAGCTCCCTCATCCCATCCTTTGCAAAAAAAAGAAAAGAAAAGAAAAAAAGTTTTAGTTGGATAAAAAATAAAATTTACCAGGTTTAAAAAAAAACTAGTATAAAAATATTTTCTGAAAGCTAGGCAAAGACTAGATCTTTTTTCTATGCTATCTCCATTTTCAGCATAGTGCCTACACACTGTAGGTACTGAAATATTTGTTGAATGAATGCTTCCTTTATGTCTATAAAGTGAATATTATACTGTATACTTAATGTAATATTCTGGTTTGAGTCTATAAACAAAATTACATAGATCAAAGAAATAAAATGTTTTCCCATTTTGAATTATAAGTTATATAACTTGCTATTGACACCTGAAAAAGAGACACTATTGTTGAGAAAACTTGGGAGTGACCATAGCACAAAATAAAATAACATGAATGTAATTTTTAGGACATTTAACATCAAGAATAAAATATTCAGGCTATGTTTGGAGTAAGTATATAAACTTAAAGCAACACATATTGATTAAGAACTTCATATTTCACCAGCACATTTTTCAATTACCTGTGAAACATGGATTATTAATGAAAAAAGTCATAAATGATATAAGATAAAATCTAAGTTAATGTGAAAAATATATGGCACATGCAAGTATTTTTTGAGATGGATCTTATAGGATGTGTGCAATTTGAGTAAATGGAGCATAAGTTTTCTCATTAAACATGAGAAAGAGTGAAGTATGGATTTGACATATGTAGTAAATCATAAGAAAATTGGTCTCATTTAAGTGGAGGACATGGGTTAGGGGATGGAAAAGATAAAAATTAGACAAATAAAGTTAGGAAGAAAGGACATTGTTGAGATAAAAGTGGCATGTTTACTGAGAACAAAGTTTCAGAACAGTGGTTCTGCTAGTATTTAAAATGAGATGGGGAAATTGGAGGTAAATCTGAAAGTTAGGAGCTATTTCATTAAAGTTAGAATTTGTCAGTAATAACAGATGAAATCATGAAATAGAGTTATATGATGGAACTTTGTACATATGGAAGTAAATAAGCTTTCATATACAGAGCACTGGAAGATTCAATGTGGTTTATTCATATATATATATATATATATACACATATATATATATACACATATATATATACACATACATATATATGTACACACACACACACATATATATATACACACATACACATACACACACGTATACATGTACAATGATATTAGAAAGTAATGAGTAATCCATGTAATTTTCTTACTTTCTAAATTCACCTACTGAGAATTGGAGATTAAAGTGAATTTAAGTAAATTGAAGTCCTGAGATATCAAAAGTTAGAAAGTTAGATATCTAATTATATACATAAATCACCAGAGAGTCTCCTGGGGGAGGGGGAAAGGATGGACCCTTTTAGGAGAGGCAGAATAAAAGAGTCTTTTCACATCTAAAGTGCATAGAAGAAGCCACAGGAAGAATGGAGACAGGAGTCAGGAGCCAGGTCAAAACGGAAAAGCAAGTCAAAAATAATTGATTGGAAGAGTTTTGGTGTCTTAGTGGTGACTGGGCACATGGGCTGTTGTAAAAGTAAAATGTCTATTGGTTCCATTGACACAACAACAAATACTTAGAAATAAGAAAGTGATAGAAGGAAAAGGAGGTTAATTTATTTCTTTATAAAGTATGAAGTAGAACACAGAACAAAACTTCTCAATCTGTTGAAAACCTTGAAGTATGTCAATTCACTTCCATTTAAAGAATTAGCCATGGTACTTCTAATTATAACCATCCCCAAAAAGTAAACAATAAGAGTAAAATATAAAGTCGAACTGGAAACTGTCCATTTCAGTGATAAGAAGTATATCCTAATGAATACAAACTCACGAATATCCATCTTTCAAAAGAGCAAGCAAAATTAAATATAGTTATTTGCTCTTCTCAAAGCCCTTGTAAGGTAAGACAGAAATTTGCTTATGTGTGTCAACCAGGGTTCAGTAGGAAACAGAATAAGCTCCAGGTATTTTAAGTAGACAGAGATTTACTACAGGGAATTAAAAGCTTATAAAATAATTAGAAAGGCTATAGATAGAGGCTCTAGTCTGGGCATCCAGGAATGTTTCCACAACCCTGTAGAATTTATTAGGGAAACTATTATTTCTGCTTCCATCAGAAGGGTGAAAAATCCAGAAGTCACTATGGTATTTACTGGAAAACACAGGGAATCATCACTGCTGTCACCCCAAGATCTTCTCAAAACCCTGCAATTAGCACTTCCATGATGGAACATATCACAAAAGCACTTACCATGCTTCTACAATCTCAGCAGAAAACAATGGAAACAGCAGGAGATGACAGCCACTTGACTTTTGCCTTTGAATCTTAACAAATGTCTCTAATTGGCTGAGCCTAATTTGCATTTGATAGTTTAATGACATGAAAATCTGGGAAATGTTTTCCAGCCTCTGCAGCACAGAAATACACACTGTAAAGATGTGAGAATGGTTACCAATTGGCCTTATCCATCACAGGAAGATTCAAAGATTTTGGAAATTTCTTATTCAAGGTCACAGAACTTGCAAGTGCTAGAGCAACAATCCGGGATTCAAAGATGTTGGCCACTTGCCCAGTGCTCTTTCCACTACATCAGTCTACAGCACTGATTACTCTCTGAAGACATTTGCCAAAGGAGACATATTTTCAAATCTTGTGCTAATTATATTTTTCACTGAAGCATTAATTCAGGCATCTGTGAATATTGTTACCTTTTAGTCTCATGTCAAACCTACTTCTTCTTCCAAACTCAGACTTAATCTTATTTTACAGTACTTACAGTTAAACCAACACTGCTAGGGTTTAATACCTTTGAGTATTTTTCTCAGCAGGATTGCTGCTTAATCCATTTAATGTCAGCACAACACAAACCTTCTTATTAAAATGGGGGAAAGGACATTATTAGAGGCTGCATTAGTGGCTTTCCTTCTCCTGGGTAAAGCTACCAATATGGCAATATTTGTACCCTTTTCTTTATCTTAATTTATCTTTTCTGCTAAGCATATACAGAAAAAATATTTAAATGTAAAGATCTGAGATGTCAAATTATCTTGAATTTTAATCATACATAAAAGAAAACCAGAATGGAGGCTCTTTCAAGCAAATCTTCCTAGATATTTAGTTTCATGCTGAAATAAAAAACACAGCATATGCAAAGAAAATACTTGAATAAAATGGAAAATTTAACGCATCAGTAATATCTGATTCATGCTCAATTACATAATAATTTCCATTTCAAATGTGATTTCAAATAACTTTGGGGAAATCTTTTACATGTACATTTAATGATCAAATATAAACATTCCTAATCTATACCTTAAAATAAAAATGTAAATTATTGCATACTTTTCTTTTTAGACTTAAGTAACAGTTCTAGGTTAAAAATTCAAGAGGTGATTAAATTCATATAAAGGAATAAAAGAAGGGCAGATACAACCACTATAAGTAGTTATGAAAGATTCATTTGCTCTTTTTAAAAAACGAAATAATGAGAGTTGTTGGCAGAAGTAAAGATAGTAGTTTTGTATTAAGAGTATACAGAAAAGAATACACAATAAACAATATATTGTTCTTAAGGATCAAATGATGAAGATCAAATTACCTAAGTCTTGTATAGTTTAGGTTATATCAATATCATAGATAGTTCTCTCTACATATTTTAGATAGAGAATTTTAAGTTTATAACATTTGGATACATTTTTAAGTCAAAAGGAACTTTTTCTATTCTGCATATAAATAGTGAAGATTGTGATTATCCCAGAGAGAAGTTTAGGGAAATTGCAAGAAAAAACAATTCAGCCTGAGGAAAATCTGAACATTTTACTTATAGGTGGACACAGTATCTTTATTTTATTTTTATCTGGTGCTGAGGATCGAATCCAGTGCCTCACATATGATAGATGGGTACTCTATCTCTGACCTACAAACCCAGCCCAGGACCTCACCTTTTTTATAAGGAACTAGTGTTTTCATTCCTAAAAGATATTATATACATTATACATGTGTGCATTTGTGTGTTAATATGCACACACATAAATGTGGAAATGTGTTAAAGAGATCACAAGACATAAGAAGTTTTCCTATTTTTTATGTAGGTAATACAACCATAAGTTCAATTTAACTTTTAAATTTGAATTAGAAAATAAATAAATAAATATTACAATAGCATAACATTAATTTTTTTCTTTGAAAATTTTTCACAGTCAAGTCTACTCTATTATTTGGTAAATGGTCTGGATAGTATCATTTTACAAATAGGTCAGTATTCTATCAAAACTGATCAGAAACCATAAGCTGTAAATTCATAGAAGCTAAAGAAAACTTGATGATGATGATTTTTATATATGTGTATATACATGATTTTACCTATATGTGAATATATATATTTATACACACACACACACACATACACACACACACACATATAAGATCTTTCTACATGCTTTATAAATTTGCTTTAAGATGGTCTGTTATACTTAAGTGTCAAAAACATTACTTTTATTATGCTTTAAGTAGATGAAGTTTAGGTTGGGATTCTTTATATTATAAAATATTTACTTCTTCAGATACTATACTACCTCTTATCAATTGTAGAACTAATTAAAATTTATAACATTTGACATTCCTTCTGTACTTTTTTTTCTTATTCAGTATATACTAAGAATAAATTTAGAAAATATGGAAAATCAAATATTAAAGTTCTGTAGTGATAATATATTTGCCACTTATTTCTTTTCCTGAGCACAATTAATATAGAAATTAGCAATGCAGAATTTGGGCATTACTTGCTTAAAAAGTCATTGTGGGGCTGGGATTGTGGCTCAACAGTAGAGCGATCATCTCACATGTGTGGGGGGGCCCTGGGTTCGATCCTCAGCACCACATAAATAAAATAAAGGTATTGTGTCCACCTACAACTAAAATAATTTTTTTTTATAAAACAAGCCATTGCTATTACTTATAACAAAATTATCCCTTA